TTGTAGTCCCAGCTACTCAGGAGGCTGAGGCAGGAGAATCGCTTGAACCCGGGAGGCAGAGGTTGCAGTGAGCTGAGATTGTGCCACTGCACTCTAGCTAGGGCGACAGAGCAAGACTCTGTCTCAAAAAAAAAAAAAAAAAAGAAAGAAAGAAAGAAAGAAAAGAAAAGAAAATGGCATATTGCATCCCCTAGCCCTCCCCTGCAAAGGACAGAGAACCTTCAAGAGGCAGATAACACAGCCTCACTCTAATCAAAGCAGACAAAAGAGCCCTGCTCAAGATTATCCCAGAGAATGGCTTGACAACACTTCTAAAACAACAGCCATGATTTTTGGCAGCTCTCTCATAACATAATCAGTTCACATTTGCAAGTTTCACATAGAAGGCAAAGCTGTATCATTACATAGCAATGTATTTCACAAAATATTCGCCCCCAGCCATGCCCATAATCCTAGTGCTTTGGAAGGGCAAGGTGGGAGGAGTCCCTGAGACCAGGAGTTCAAGCCTGGGCGATATAGTGAGACCCTATGCCTAGAAAAAAATTTAAAAATTAGCCAGGCATGCTGGTGTGCACCTGTACTTCCAGCTGCTCAAGAGGCTGAAGCGGCAGCATCACTTGAGCCCAGGAGTTAGAAGCTGCAGTGAGCTACGATCAGGCCACTGCACTCCAGCCTGGGCAACACAGTAAGACCCTATCTCTAAGAACAAACAAATTAACAAAATATTTATCCTGCTGACTGCACAAGCAAATGCTAGCAGCTTTCGGGGGACTGTTGCTGAAGTTTTCTCTGACTTTGGGGTGACTAGGAAGACCTGCTGTGAAAATTTCCTGGGCCCAACAAAGCCATCCATCCTGAATGATATAAAATTTGGGGCTATCTCTTGAGGAAAACCTGGAGCTGCCTACAGGCCACCCTGCATGGAGGGAGGATGGCCAGCAGTCAACCAGGAGGCAGGGGCTCGTGATTTCCACTCAGGCCTGCCCACCTTCCCACTGGCCTGAGCAGCACCTGCCTTCCAGTCCTTGCCAGCAAAGACAACTCAGAAAGCCCTATTCTGAAACTTTCATCAAAAGCCCATCAGTGATGACCTTCACCGAGAACCGTTTGAAGGATATCCCTATCCCTCAAGTAAGGGGAGAGACATGCCTAGCAAAGGTGGTGTCTCAGACCGGGCACGGCGGCTCATGCCTGTAATCCCAGCACTTTGGGAAGCCGAGGCGGGCGGATCACCTGAGGCCAGTAGTTTGAGACCATCCTGGCCAACATGGTGAAACCCCGTCTTTACTAAATACAAAACAATTAGTTGGGTGTGGTGGCAGGTGCCTGTAGTCCCAGCTACTCGGGAGGCTGAGGCAGGAGAATCACCTGAACCCAAGAGGCAGAGGTTGCAGTGAGCCAAGACTGCGCCACTGCACTCCAGCCTGGGCAACAAAGTGACACTCTGTCTCAAATAATAATAATAATAATAATAATAACAACAACAACAACAACAATAATAATGGCGATGTCACTCCTCAACAACAACAACAACAACAACAATAATAATGGCGATGTCACTCCTCAACAACAACAACAACAACAACAATAATAATGGCGATGTCACTCCTCAACAACAACAACAACAACAACAATAATAATGGCGATGTCACTCCTCAACAACAACAACAACAACAACAATAATAATGGCGATGTCACTCCTCAATTTAACACCATGGCAGATATTGTTAGTTGATCACAGAACTCTACCCTGCCAAGCCCAGAGAAGGCTTCAGAATTCTTCTCAAGAAGGTTCCAGGCAGCTGGGTGTGGTGGCTCATGCCTGTAATCCCAGCACTTTGGGAAGCTGAGGCGGGTGGATCACGAGGTCAGGAGATCGAGACCATCCTGGCTAACACGGTGAAACCCCAACTCTACTAAAAATACAAAGAATTAGCTGGGCATGGTGGCCAGCGCCTGTAGTCCCAGCTACTTGGGAGGCTGAGGCAGGAGAATGGCATGAGCTCGAGAGGCGGAGCTTGCAGTGAGCCGAGATGGTGCCATTGCACTTCAGCCTGGGTGACAGAGCAAGACCCCGTCTCAAAAAAAAAAAAAAAAAAGGAGGGCTCCAGGCTGGGCACCGTGGCTCACACCTGTAATCCCAACGCTTTGGGAGGCTGAGGCTGGAGGATCACTTGAGGCCATAAGTTTGAGACCTGCCTGGGCAACATAGTGAGACCCCATCTCTATAAAGACTAAAATTAGCCAGATGTGATGGAATGCGCCTGTAGTCCTAGTTACTTGGAAGCCTTAGGTGGGAGGATCACTTGAGCCCATGGGCTTGTGGCTTTAGTGAGCTATGACTATGCCACTGCACTTCAGGCTGGGCAACAGAGCAAGACCTTGTCTCTAAAAACAAAAACAAAAAATAAAAACAAAAACAAAACCTCACAAGACTCCAGACCTACTCATCAGAGTAGCTCATGAGATGAAACCAGTTTTCCAACTTTGCTTTGTAGATATCCTGGCTCTAGAACTGAATGGAGCTTGGTGAATAATCAGGAAACGATGCACTCAGGTTCCTTGCAGAATTGCTTTTTCTGAGCTCAGACATGAGGTCACGCTCTTGGCCTTATCATAATGATGCTACCTGAAGCAGCCCCAGATCCTGAATCAAACCTCCCTGGAGCTGTTTTGCGGGGTAGGTGCCGCGTGCTTCTAGATCCCATGTTCATGGAGCTACACACAAGAAATTTAAGAGTGAAGGCTTAGGAAAAAGCTTTGATTCCCTCAACATCTGGGTGGGTTTTATTATTTTTTCAACAACAAAGAGACATGCACCTGACAGCCCTTCTCTTTTCACCTCCCCTAGCAGCAAAGTCAGAGCTAAATTTTCTTCAGTAACCACCACCTTAGTACATCATCTCCCCCTAATTCCTCTCCATCTTGAGTCCCATCTCTTACTTGTTTTTTGTGGTCCTGGCTTTTCAGTGAATTTGCCAGTTCACCACACGTGTTTCTGTTGTGAACTGCCTCAAACCTTCTAGGGACTGAGGTCAGGGTAAGAGTAGTTTAAAAACAAGACAACATGTGGACAGTGAAGGGTGTGGCATTGGGAGTACCCTTCCTGCGTCTTCTCTCCCTTCCTCAGGGGGTAGCATGGTAGTCTTCTCCACTGCCCTGGTTTACTCACTGGGGATGCAGTCCAGTCAGAAATGGGGCTCTGGCTCAGGGGCAGGGAAGGGGACCTGGGGAGAAAGAGGTTTCCCAACCAGGCCTGTCACAGTAAGCAGCCAAGGACACGGAGCCTCCTGTCTCTCTCAGGCTGGGATGAGGGCTGCCATTCTAGGCATGAGAATTTCCTCTCTCAGAGGCCCTACTCCTCACCACCCTCCAGGGCAAGGATTATTATTAACTCAACTCCTGGAGAGGGAACTGCAGAATCTGTGATGTTAGAAACACAGGACAGGTCCCCTGGGGTTGGGGGGCAGTATTGGCCTTGAGCCCCGAGAATGGTAGCCCCAATTCCTCCCAGGTCCTCCTTCTTGGAGCTTGCCTACAGTAAGGGTCCCAGAGCACTGCCAACAACTGCACCAATATCTCCTCTCTGGCTTTGGATTCCCACCTCTATTAATACAGCCAAAAGCTGCACACAGTGTTGGCTCATAGGGAATTAAGGATCAAAAACCCCCAGGTCATTTCCAGGTCAACAGTTGTCAGAGGGCTGACAGGCATCACTAAGCCCCTTCCCTCCTTCTCCCCACCCCGGCTACTTACCTCCAGCACATTCTTCCTACTGGATTTGTCTTTGGGGGCCCAGGAGAGAGTGGCCCCCCTCAGCTCCACTGTGTACTCGGGGGTGGAAAACTTGGAAGGCTGCCTCTGTGGGAGAGGGAGGAAGGTCACAGGGAGCCCTCAGATGTGTCTGCTGTGGCACTCTGACCCTAGGAATAGGATGGGGTCTACGGCATGGCCAGGAAACGACTCTGGGGAAAAGAGCCCCAAGGGTTCCTGAACCCAGACCCTGATGCTTCTTAACCACAGAGCCTGCTGGCTGGCCTGTCCACTGCTGTCCACCCGTCCAGTGGAGGACAGGAAAGGAATGCAGTCTGCATCCCTGCAAGCAGGTATGCCACCCCCAGCCTCCCTGCCCTCCAGGCTGGAGCTGGCCACCCTCAAGACTGTTCCCCATCTCCAGCGGGCTAAAACTACTTGTCTTGGAGTGAAGCTGCCAGCATCACCCCCTTCCTGCCAAGGCCCAGCTCCTCTGACACTCATGGACCACTCTCTCAGACCTCGTCATCTCCAAGCCAGATTAGATAGAGCAGATGGGGGCTGGGCACAATGGCTCACGTCTGTAATCCCAGCACTTTGGGATGCCGAGGTGGGCGGATCACCTGAAGTCGAGTCCAAGACCAGATTGGCCAACATAGTGAAACCCCATCTCTACTAAAAACACAAAAATTAGCCGGGCCTGATGGCACATGCCTGTAGTCCTAGCTACTCAAGAGGCTAAGGCAGGAGATCTCAGGAGGAAGAAGTTGCAGTGAGTCGAGATTACACCACTGCACTCCAGCCTGGGCAACATAGCGAGACTCTGTCTCAAAAATAAATAAATAAATAAATAAATAAATAAAAGTAAATAAATAAATAAAAGCAGATGGGGTGGTCCCTGCCCTGAGGGCCTGGCCTTACCAGGCCGCCTGCAGCTGAGGTCTTTGAGTCCTTGAAGAATGTCAGGACGCCACCCTCCAGCACAGTCCAGGAGGCACTCCAGTGCTTCTTTCTAGGTGGGGGTGGGGAAGTAGGGGTGGCAGGACTTAGATTTGGTCCTAGGTTGAGGGCCCCTCCTACCTCAGGAACAAGTCAGAGCTTAGGAACACAGGCTAGGGTACCCCACTATGAGGGCTGAAATCCTGACTCTAACACCTAGCAGCCAAGGGACCTTGAGCAAGTCACTTTATCTCGCAGTGTCTCAGTGTCCACAGAGGACCACTCACGAAGTTGTTGTGAGCATTAATAAGAGCCTGGCGTATAGGAAGTGCTCAGTGAACATCATCACCAAGGCCCACCCTGCCCCGGCCTGGGTGTAGATGGGCTCTCACCGGAGCCGCTTTCCCTTTTCCGCCGTCTTGGTGCGATGGAGCACCCCTGCCTTGTCCAACGTCTTGGTCTAAGAGAGAAAAGAGAGAGAAGGTACAAGAGTGGGTAGTTAAGGGGTGAGCTATGGGGAGTAGAGGCTGGTCACCTGCTGAGCTGCCACTCTCTATGGTCTGGGCCCATGGCCCCACTGAACCCTCCTCGCCAGCCCCACCACCTGGCTGGGGGTAGGGGGTGATGCCTACCCTCACAGCAGCTGTGGCAGGAGAGACTTCCTCCCAGCTCCCAACCTCATCCAGCTCTGCAGGGACCTATGGAGAAGACAGATATGTCCTGCCTAGTCCCTTCTCCCAGGACCTCCAGAAGCCCCCCAGTGCCACTGTGGTGGTCCTGCCAGGACCTCAATGGCTCCTCCCCTACCTTCTCCTCTGGAGGGCTGGCCTGGGCTGGGGTGTCATCATCCTGGCTGGATTTATGGATGCTTCGAGGGGCAGGGACAGGGACCTGGGGAGAAAGACACAGTCGTATGTGATCTCTTCCTCTCTCCCCAGGACCCCCCTTTCCCCACGTTGTTACCTGGGGCAGCTCCCATCGAACGGAGGAGTCCTCTGGATTGTAGAAGTATGGCTTCCCGTGGGGGTCCTCCAGCCTCACCCACTGTGGGGAGAGGAACGGTCAGGGCCTCCCGCCCCGCTCATGAGAAGGGAGGAAAAGGTCCCCTCCAACCAGGTTCCAAGACAGCACCAGGGAGTCTGGAGGGGCAGGTGCAGGTGATGCGTTTGACGGGTTTAGGCTCTGTGTGGGAGCTACAGTTTAGAGAACTCAGGCGACCTATTAGTGAGGAAGGTTGTGGGGAGGACTCCGAGGCTGGCCGGGTCCATCTGCCCGCTTCGCCTACCTGCTCCTGGGTGAAGTGGTTGGTATAGAGCGTCTGCTTGTCCTGGCTGATATGACAAGACCAGCCGGGGGGTGTGGTCAAGGGAGAGGTGGGGCCGGGCTCACCAAAGGAGCCCACGGGAGAATAGTCCTCCTCGGGGTAACTGGTCAGTGACTCGGGGTAGTCCGTCTCCGGGGTGGGGGGCTGTGGGGAACAGAAGGTAGAGTCAGAGGCTCTGATTGCCAGCACTGCCCGCTAGCCCTGCCGTTTTGGACCAGGACCACCCCCTTGCCGTCTGGTCCCTGGGGCTGTGGGAGCAGGAGGTAGAGACAGAGATACTCAGAGGTAGCTCCGCCCACTCCAGCCCCGCCCCTCACCCTCTGGTCCCTGGGGCTGTGGGAGCAGAAGGCGTCAGAGGCACTCAGAGATAGCCCCGCCCACTCCAGCCCTGCCCCAACCCTGTGCTCCCTGGGTCTATAAAACAGGAGGCGGGATCAGAAGTGCTTAGAGGTAGCCCCGCCCACTCCAGCCAAGCCCTTCACCCTGGGGTCCCTGGGTCTGTGGAAGCAGGAGGAGGAGTCAAAGGCTCTCAGAGGTAGCCCTGCCCACCCATCACCACCCCTCACCCGTGTGTCCCTGGGCCTCTGGGAGCAGGAGGCAGGATCAGAGGAGCTCAGAGGTAGACCCGCCCACTCTGGCCCTGCCCCTCACCCGCGGGTCCCCGGGGCTGCCAGGGCTCAGGCCCGGCTGCATCTCGAACTCCTCCTCGGGCTCGTTCTCGGCCTCGTCCTCCCAGGCCGTCTCGCCAGTCAGCGGGTTGTAGAAGAACACTCTGCGGCTCTCCTCATCCCAGTACTGGCCCCACTCGGTCTCGAGGCTCACGTGGCTGTCCACCGAGGCAGGGGAGGTGGCTGGGCTGGCGGCAGCCTCAAAGGGCGACTCCCAGGTGGTAACTCCCGTGTCTGGATTGTAGTAGTAGGGGCGCCCGGTGCCCGCGTCTGTGTGCGTCTCCCACACTGGGCTGGGGAGGGGGACCGCAGCGGCGCTCGGCGAAGTGGCCCGGGGCTGCCTCTCTATGTTCGCGTACACGGGCTCCGGGGGGTCGTCCACCTGTGGGAGGAAAAAGGAGGAATTTTGTGTTTTCAAAAACCTTCCAAAATGCTAACAGAGGTCCCCTCTGGGCAGTGCGATTATAGGGGTTTGTTTTTGTTTTATTTTCTTTAAACTTTTCTGCAGCCTCAAAATTTTGTACAACGAAGCTTTTTAAAAATCACAGAGGTTCTTCTGTTGACTGTGACAACATCACTAATATGTAAACTCCCTGAAAGGGGAAGCGCCTGTTTGAAGTGGCCTCTCCCTGAGCTTTAGCCCCCTGGGCGACCTTTGAAAAGTCACACTACCTCTCTGCCTCAGTTTCCTGGGTGTAACATGTCTGCTCTGCCCATTCCGGAAATTGCAGTGAAGAGTGAATGAGGAAATGCTCTTGAAAGTGCTTTGTAAAGTATTCAGTGCCCCAGATAGGTGGGTCAATTACATTAACTATATTTATCAATAATAATAAAACATTGATAACCCAGTTCTCACAACTGTGTACTCACAGAGGCAAGTCAGAGGTTGGGCAGGAACTGAGAAGTGGCCTGGGGCATGCCCCTGTTTGTGGTGCCCATTCAGGGCCCTGCTGCATTCTTTTTTTGTTTTTTTGAGATGGGGTCTTGCTCGGTCGCCCAGGCTGGAGTGTGGTCGTGCAATCTCGGCTCACTATAACAGCCGCCTCCCGGGTTCAAGCTGTATTCTTAAAGCCCCATTAAGAGTTCCCACCCCACCTCCCTCCCAGCCCAGAAAGCTCTGGGACTGGACTCAGTACTGTGTCTGGATTTGGGGACTGAACTTTTCAAGGTGAAGTTTGCAGGTGTCAGAACCAATTCCAGACAAGAGAGGGAGAGAGGACAGCCAGATGGGCTGGAGAATGGAGGGGCAAAGAGAGGTGAATCATTTTCCCACACCCCAAAGGAGAGTGAGGGCAGCTGGGGGTTCAATCACATAGAACATAAACCTAGCCATGCTTAAGCCTCCCAGAACAGAGGCTCTCTTGATTCACACCTCAGAGCTCCCTGCTGGCTGCAGGGCAAAGTCTAAGCCCTTAACCAGGCACAAGAGACAGTCCCCTCACCGGCCTGTGCTTCCACTATTATTTCCTGCCACTCCTTGCCCCTTGCCTTGAACTTTATGCTCCAGTAGTGCCAGTTGCTAGAGGTCCCCACCTTCCCTGCTGTGTTTCCTCCAGGCCTAGGCTCATTTGTAGCCTGCCCAGGCCCATCTCCACCCCTTTTTATGCCTGGCTGACTCCAATTCCTTCGTCAGGACTCAGCTCAGGTGCCAGGTTCCAGCCTTTTCCCGAGATTCCCCCCATCCCCGTGCCCCTACATTCAGCCCAGCACCCTCAGCCCCAAAGAGGGACAGACGACTACATTCTCGAACCCTAGGCAGCAGCATGGCATTACTACTATTTTCTTTTCTTTTTTCTTTTTTTTTTTGAGACAAAGTCTCTCTCTGTCATCCAGACTGGAGTAGAGTGGTGTGATCTCAGCTCACTACAACCTCCGCTTCCCAGGTTCAAGTGATTCTCATGCCTCAGCCTCCCGAGTAGCTGGGATTACAGGCGTGCGCCGCCACACCTGGCTAATTTTTGTATTTTTAGTAGAGATGGGGTTTTGCCCTGTTGGCCAGGCTGGTCTTGAACTCCTGACCTCAGGTGATCCGCCCACCTCGGCCTCCCAAAGTGCTGGGATTACAGGCATGAGCCACCGCACCGGCCGATTACTATTTTCTAAGCATACGCAAAACTTCAGGGGAAAGCGGATTTCTACATTTCAATTTTTGTTTTCAGAAACTTTCCAAAATGCTAACAGAGGTCCCCTCCGAGCACTGTGATTATAGGGGTTTATTTTTGTTTTGTTGTCTTTGAACTTTCCTGCAGCCTCAAAATTTTGTACTACAAAACTTTCAAAAAATCACAGAAGTTCCTCTGCTGACTGTGACACCGTCACTAAGCTGTAAACTCCTCGAAAGAGGAAGCACCTGTTCAAGGTGGCCTCTCCCTGAGCCTTAGGCAGATGCCAAAAAAAAAAAAAAAAATTCATTTTTCACCAAACTGATGCTAAAAAAGCAAAGCAAGCCAAAACAACAAAAAGAATAAGGAAAAGAAGAACATTCGTTCACCCAACAAAGATTTGCCTGCTCTGCGCCAGTCACTGTTCGAGGCATGGGGAATGCAGCAGTGAAAAAGGGACACAAATCCCTCCCCGGCAGAGCTGGCACTCAAGTGCACCTGTGTGTAAATGGCGGGGTGATGAGTAAATGGACAGCATGTCAGTGCTGATCACTGCTAAGCAAGAAAGGAAAACACCGTCAAAGAAGAGGATGTTACAGTTTTAGACAGGGTGCTGGTCCCCAGGTGCCAGGGGTCAGGGAGAGCTGGGGATCCCAGCCCATCAGTTCTTCGCTCCTCTCCCCTTCCTCTAGGCTCCTGTGTGGCTGAGAGGGGACCCGTCAGCCCACTTCTCCTTTCTCTGCCCCCACCACAGCCCTGATGTGGCATCCTGTAGTCCAACCACAACAGGACTCTCACTGGCCCCCAACAGAAAAGGCATCCTCCCATCTCCATGCCTTTGCTCCAGCCGTTCCCTCAGCCTGGAATTCCCTTCTCTGGTTCTCTGCCTTCCCAAATCCTGCTCTCTCACGGTGCTCAGCTGATAAGCCTCTCCAGGGAGAGGCCAAACCTGCTGGCACTCTGCTCACTGCTCTGGTGGGGTCCAATGGCGTTCTGCCTTGGTGGGCAGCCAGTTGTCCAGCCATCTGCCCACCTCCTCTGCCCCAAAAGGCAGGATTTTCTTGAGAGCAAGACTAAAGATAATGTAGCTGATTTCATTTGCCACCCAGCAGCTGGGCCAATGCCCTGAAGCACCCAGCAGGTCTGCCACAAACACTTACTGCTTGAGTACACAAGTCTAACCCATGCCAAGTTTCAGCAGCAAACACGCCTGACATGGCAGGAGAGCCTGGAATGAGCTGAGTTTTCTGAGGAGGAAGGTTGGAGCCACAGAAACCAGGAGATTCCTGGGGAGGGCAGGATGGAAGCAGCGGGGAGAGGAAGGCAGAGGAACCAGACACACCTGCCATCCTCCCAGCTGAACCCACTGGGGCAGGGGTTGAAAGGCCCCACCAGGGGTGGATGAGCTGATAAGGAGCAGGCTCTTTGGAGCAGGAGTTTCTACTTGGCAGGCTGTGGGCCGTGGCTCTGAGTCCCCAAGGAGTCCTAGGCCAGTGAGGCTGATGGGGTCTTCACACAAAGGAACATCCCCAGCAGGTACAGAAGAGATTTGAGAGGTAGAAGTTTAGGTCCCCAGCATGACAGGGCTGTCACAAGGAAGAGAAGACGTGGTATCACGCTGCAGGGACAGAGCAGCATTCCTCTAAAGGAAGTATTCTGAGGACTGGGGCTGCCAGAGACACAGGCTGCTTCTGGAGGTAGTGGGGGACTCTCGCTGGAGGTGACTGAGCAGAGTCTACTCCCCGTTAGGGAAGCCACAGCCCTGTGGTGGGCGTTGAACTGCAGTGTCCTTCAGGCCCCTTCGAACTCTAGAACTCTCTGCAGACCCCGCGCAGTGCTGAGCTAGAGATGCCTCCCCTCCTGGCAGAGCCTCAGCTGGGTTCTGACCAGCTTCTGGGGCCAGGTGCAGTCACGCCCTCCACATCCTCTGGGCTTCAAGGAGTTACAGCAGCGCCTGCCGCCCCTACCCTCCTCCTTGCTCCTGTGCGTGGAGGCCCAGCAAGACCCAGATGCAGCTCATAAGCAGGGGCCTGACCACAGAGCCGAAGGCTCTTGGGCCGCATCCTAGAGACAAGAAGTGGCCTTCCCACCCCAGGCCAGAGGAGGAGCCAAGAGGGACCTGGCTGTCAAGCTCCAGGCTGCCCAGCCCCCTGGCACTTCGTTACAGTGGTTCACCCCTTGTCTCCAGTTCCCTCCCCTGTCCACAAGCAGGTGGCAGCTCTGCCACTCTTGCCCCAAGCTGACCACCTCTTGGATGGGCAGGGCCTCTAAGAAGGAAAGAGAAAAGGAAGTATGAGCCCCAACTTCCAAGAGGCTCCCTGCTCCGAGCCCCAGCTCGCCCAGCTCCTAACAGGGCTTGGGGTAGAGGCCCATGGGGCACCCCTTGACCCCAGCGTCCCCTACCTGTGCCCGCAAGGCTTGACTCTGCCTCCTAGTCACTTTGGCGATCATGTCCACCATCCTGGCCCCTCCGAGCTGCAGGGACAGAGCCCTGGGAAGGTTTTGGGGGTGGAGTCCAGAGGGCACTACCCCAGTGCTGGCACAGGGCAACAGGGAAACAAGAAGTTGCCTCGAGATGGCGGGAGGCTGAGACTCCAGCCCATTTCCTGTCAGGGCTGCGGAAGTGCTGCCTGTGTTGGGGCGGGTCGGGTGGAGGGGCCTCAGGTTGGGGGTATTTTTATGCTTCTAGAAACACCGCTGGCTGCCCCACTCAGTGCTCTAATGACCAGTGAGCCGCATCCCAGGCCCAGACATAGCCATGGTGTGGGCTGCACAGGGGAAGATCACGGCCAGACCCAGGCACAGCACAAACTGCACAGAGAGAATCACGGCTGAGCCTGTGGGGGAGGGGCGCACTGCACAGACAGGGCGGGCAGAGCGGGTGCTGAGTGCTGGGGGCCTGGGCTGGCCTGGAGTGGCTCCTGGGGCGGAAACAGGACAATGAGTGGTTGTCCACTCCCTCTAGGCCCAGGGAGGGTGTGATGGGAAAGAGGAAACTTGTGGGGGGAGGGGAAGGGTTCCCAAAGAGGAAGGGGTCTGGGCAGATGTGATATCACAGGGAGCTGGCGTCTGGACTGTGCCAGCCCCGAGGAGGACAGGAAGGATTCTGACCACACCACTATCTGCCCGCCTGACCACCTGGGTCTGTCTCCTCCAGACTCGATCACCAAGATGCATGTGCCCTCCCCTGCCTGCATGCCCACATGGGCCCACTCCCACTTGCGTGTCCACATACATGTGCAAGTATGCCCGTGCCTGTCCCCTCTTCTCTAAGGACCCAGAGAAGAGGGCCAGGCACCAGCTTCTCCCAGGAGGAAGGCTAGATCTTCTCCCTGGCCTCTCTTCCCTTCACCCCCCTCGTGGGGGGTGTTAGACCCCAGCCGCATGGCCTGAGTGAGAAGTCGCAGCCCCTCCTCTGAGCCCATAGGCCCATCTTGTCTTCCCTCCTCCCTCAGAAGTGCTTCCTCTCCAGGCTTAAGGGTCAGACAGCACTAAGCCCACCAGCCCACCCCTGCTGAAAGCCACCTCCCTTCCAGGTCAGACTCTGACCCCCGCCCTCCCACTCCAGGCCCATTCTTCCTCCTCCGGCCCCCACCCTGGCTCTGTTTTTCTCTCCTGCCGTGTCCCTCAGCCCCTCCTCTCCTGTACCCATTGTGGGCTGGGGACAAGGACCCCACGCAGAGCCAGGCACAGTGCGAATGTGGGGCATGAGACACTTGGAGAGATCACACTAGGTGGAAGACTGGGCCCCATGCCCTGCTCTGCCTGCAAAAGCTCTCGTACCAGTGTCCCATTCCCTGTGCCTGACTCAGAAGCCCAGACCCCAGGGGTAGACTAATCCCCTCCTCCCTAGCAGGGCGGAGGACAGCAGGAATTACAGAAGGTTGGAGGCCTCATGCTTATCACACACCTGACCCACCTCTCTGTCCCCACCCTGAGGCCAGGGATGCGGACTCACACACACATACACACACACACCACACACACGTGTGCGTGCATATGACAGGTCACCAAGGGATATGCAACCAGGTCCCAGAGACAGGAAGAGCCTCTGTAAATTCCAGAGAGGCCAGAAACTCTGAGCCATCAGGGAGGAGCTGGGTGGGGAGGGGAAAGAGGAGGACAGGTGTGGAACTCAGGCCCTCAGCACTGCCCTGCAGGTAGAATGGGGGGCAGGGACTCCCTGTGCCCGGGGCCAGGAGTGTCAGTGTCAGGGCTGGGACTACAGAACGGGCAGCCAGCAACTCACCTGGCATCTCACCTGCTTCTCTTCCCCAGTAGGAAGCTGGGCCCCCATGATGGGGGTCTCCCAGGGAGCTCCAGCCCCAAACTATAGGGACTGAACAAACTCACACAGTTCCTGCCTGCTCTTAGCCACAGAAGTTGGCTCTCAGGCCCTGTCTGGGCTTCCCTTCCCCCAGCGAGAGGAGGTGATGACCACAGTGGCTCCCCAGTGGAGTCTGCCTCCCTCCACCACACCCTCATGCCTCTGAGAGGCACAAGGGGGAGGATCAGGGGAGGTTCTAGAACAAACCAGGTGCACAACACCCCTCCTCTCCCCGCTCTGACCTCACTCTTCCCTCCCAAACCCTCATAGGAAGTGCTGGGGCAGGAGCAGGTGCACTAGGAAGACCCAGTCCTCTGGGGCTAGAGGCAAAATGAACGCCTCCAAACCAGGACTTGGTCCAGGAACTGACTCAGGGGCTGGTGAGGGGACACGGTGTCCTTTGTTGACTCAGTGAATGTGCTCTGTGCCACCCAGGCCAGGTGGAGGGGGAGCCGGAAAGAATGGTGATCTTTGCCTCAAGGAGCTCAGCTATGTCCACATGACAGGTCCCTCCCCCGGACACATGTTCTCCAGGACAGAAACTGGGTCTCCCCTTAACCATCCCGTCCTGACCCAGAGCTACATGTCCAGGGGCAGGATCAGGGGAGCTGGGGGTGACCCCACAGAGTCCTGGGCCTCAGGCCTCAGTAGGCTTTGGGGAGCCGTGCCTAGCCCAGCCCTCTGAGATTCTGATGGAAGTGGTTTGGACTGGGACCTGGGGAAAGTGTTTAATTTGAAGCCTCCTTGGGTGATTTGACTGTGCCTCCCAGGTGAGGCACCACGGCTCAGTATAATCTTTTTTTTTTTTCCTTTTTTTCAATATGGAGTCTTACTCTGTTACCGCGGCTGGAGTGCAGTGGCTCGATCTCAGCTCACTGCAATCTCTGCCTCCCAGGCTCAAGTGATTCTCCTGCCTCAGCTTCCTGAGTAGCTGGGATTACAGGTGCCTGTCACCATGCCCAGCTACTTTTTGTACTTTTAGTAGAGACGGGGTTTCATCATGTTGGCCAGGCTGGTCTCAAACTCCTGACCTCAAGTGATCCGCCGCCTTGGTCTCCCAAAGTGCTGGGATTACAGACATGAGCAGCCCAGCTGGCTTAATGTAATCTTATTGCATGGATGTAGGGGGAGATTCCAAACCTAACAGTTTCAGGTGAGACCCTTTTCTTGGGCTTGGGGCAGAAGCTTCCATTGATTCAAACGGAAAAAGAGTGGAGCTGGAGTCCAGAGACTTGGGCTCTTGTCTAGGCTCTACTTCAGCTGCTCGCCGAGCAGCCGCTTGAATTTCTGGGCCTCAGTTTCTTCATGTGTAGAACAGAGCTGTCAACCCTACCCCGTCACAGGGCTGGTTCTGTGAAAGAGCCGCGCGGGCCCTGGGTTTCCACACCCATGGGGATTCGGGGAAAGCAGGCCTGCACTTCTGCTTTTCTGGCTTCGGGTTTCAGTTGGGTGCCCTCAGCGGTGGACTCTGTCCCCAGTCTCTGGGTGACCTCATGGGGCTGCCTGCCTGGCCTGCTCCTCCAAGGCAGGGTGGGAGCTGGGGTGGGGCCTCCTCAGGGCTCACACTGCCTGTGCTCTAAGTAAGGCTGGCAGAGACCCAGCAGGGCCGCTGGAGCCAGGAGGGATCAGAAATGGTCCATGAGGGGCCGGGCGTGGTGGCTTAGGCCTGTAATACCAGTACTTTGGAAGGCTGAGGCAGGAGGATCACTTGAGGTGAGAAGTTTCAGACCAGCCTGGCCAACATAGTGAAACCCCGTCTCTACTAAAAATACAAAAATTAGCTGGGCGTGGTGGCATGCGCCTGTAATTCCAGCTACTCAGAGGCTGAGGCAGGAGAATTGCTTGAACCTGGGAGGCAGAGGTTGCAGTGAACCAAGATCACACCACTGCACTCCAGCCTGGGTGACAGAGTGAGACTCCGTCTCAAAAATAAATAAATAAATAAATGGTCCATGAGGGAACCTCCCAGCCAGCGAAGCCTGTAGGGATGAGCCAGGTTAGGGAGGTGGGAAAATGAGACCAAAGAGTGGTCACCTTCTGCCCACCCCCTCAAACGTATCTGTGTTTGTACCCCCCATTCCTTCCCCCTCCCCCAGTGGAAGGCACAGGGCCCTGCCATCCAAGCCAACCTCCCCAGCCCAGGCCTGAAGGACTCCATAGCCTCCCACTTGCTCGGAAGTGGCCTCACCTCAAATCTCCAACCCTTCCCTTCTGACTACCTTTGTCCCTTTCTCATTTCAACAAACTCAAGGCCTCACTCTTTTTTTTTTTTTTTTTTAGACAGCGTCTTCCTCTGTCGCCCAGGCTGGAGGGCAGTGGTACGATCACGGTTCACTGCAGCTTTGACTTCTTGGACTCAAGCAATCCTTCTGCTTCAGCCTCCCAAGTAGCTGGCAGTACCGGCCCACACCACCATGCCCAGCTTTTTTTTTTAGAGACGGTCTCACTATGTTGCCTAGGCTGGTCTTGATCTCAAGAAATCCTTGAGATCCTTGGGTCCAAGAAATCCTCCCACCTCAGCCTCCCAAAGTGCTGGGATTACAGGCATGAGCCACTGCATCCAGTTGGTCTCTCCATCTTAAAAAGAAAATGTTGGCCGGGCACAGCGGCTCACTCCTGTAATCCCAGCACTTTGGGAGGCTGAGGCAGGTGGATCGCTTGAGGTCAGGAGTTCAAGACCAGCCTGGCCAACGTGGTGAAACCCCATCTCTACTAAAAATACACACACACTCACACACACAAAATAGCCAGGTGTGGTGGCGGGCGCCTGTAGTCCCAGCTGCTTCGGAGGCTGAAGCAGGAAAACCACTTGAACCCCAGAGGTTGCAGTGAGTAGAGATCACACCGTTGCTCTCCAGCCTGGGTGACAGAGAGAGAGTTCATCTCAAAAAAAAAAAAAAAAAGTTTGTTCCCTGGACCCAGCTCTGCATCCCCTTTTAACAACTAATTCCTTTTTCCTTCCTCCTTTTTGAGCCAACTTCTCTGTCCCCTCACTTAGCCAGCCAGCCCACTGCTGGCCTTCCACCACTTCCTTGATGACAGACCTGGTCCTTCTCTGGCCTGACTTCTCTTCAGTGTTTGCTCTTTAAAATCTTCTCCTTCTTGGGCTTCCTCAGGCCAGGCCTCCTGGTTTTCCTTCTTTTTCTCTGCTACTGCTCAGCAATTGGGCCCCAAGCTCCACCTCCTCTGCCATGGCCTCATGCTTGGTGTCTCACCTGGCTTCTCACTCCACTGCCTTGGGAGAGGCCAGACCCACCGGCTGT